AACTCATCATTTCCATCATTACCTTATTTCATTATCATTCATATTTTTCTTATAGTCATTCTTAATTAAACAATACACACACAACAACATATATTCTGTCATGCAACAATTATCCACCTGCACATATGTTATTATTCACATTCTTATTTTTGTACATCATATAACACACATATCACTTCACAAGAATCACACATAACATCCTATAATCCTTGTAATCTATTTTTCATAACATATCACATATACACATATCACATATAATATATTTATATTAATGTTTTATTAGCCCATGTATACTTTTAAGAACTTAAGGTATGAGAGTACATTAGGTTGTGCACAAATATGCTGTCACCACAGCTCGTATTAATGTCTTGAATGACCAGTCCATATGTTCCGAAGAACATAGGTAAAAGGACTATTTATCCCGAAGAACATAGGTAAACAGTCCATATGTCCTGAAGAACATAGGTAAACAGTTCATATGTTCCGAAGAACATAGGTAACCATCGACTCTTGGCATGCCAACTATACCCCTAGCTCTGGTATCACATAACATGGACACTATTGTTATGGTTAATATCATTGCTTTTATGATCACAAATTTCTTCTCTTCTGTCACATACCACATGTATGTGTAACCATCTATCTCATATTATATAACATATATCACATATTCACATAGTCATATAACTTATATTCTTTCTCATGTAGTCACATAGGTTCATGTCATATAACATATATCATAAGTGCATGTAATCACGTATTACATGTAATCACATAGATCATTTCATATGACTTATATCATTTCTCATTTTTTTCATGTGCGTATGTCATATCTTGTTCATATATGTTCATATATACATTACATAACACATAAATTAACATATAAACTTATACATGTACTCATATACATACTTTCATATAGTCTGTATATCAATACCATATAACTTATCTCACAATTTTACATAATCACTTATTTCACATTAATTATATATCATTTCCATGTATTTACTATTATTACATTCACCTATCTTATATTTCATATTCCTATAATCGCTTATGTCAATACCACATAAATAATTTCATATATTCATGTAGTTCAATATCACATATCGCATATACATGTAATCATGTAAATTATGTCACATATAATAATATACCCATTTTCATGTACTCATGCACACATAAGAATCAAAAATCAAATAACATTTTAGGAGTCACTTCTTACCATAGTAACCCCGTCACTATCTCATCGCAAGCCAATGTTTATTTAATAACATAAGTACAAATTAAATTGCACTCACCTTAGCCTTGCTTGCTTTGATTCGATCTTAATTCTTTGATTGTTTCGGAACTCGTTTAGGCTCTGTATCTACATAAATAATTTTCAAAACAATTATCAGAAGCCTAAACATTATACTTCGATGCTATTAACTTAAACGAATTTAATAGATCAATATTCACTTTTTCCTTTAGGGGGTACCGATACACTCCTTAAGGTATCGGTACCCTTATTGCATTATGTGATTTTTCGTTCAAGAGGGTATCGGTACACATACATAGGGTACCGATACACTCTGCCCAAAACATGTTTTTTCACTAAAAAATTCATCATTTTCAACTTAAATTCTTCATGTTTCATTCCCTTTTCTATTCTTAACTCAAGTACATATACTTAAACTAATTTCTACTCGTTCAATACATCCTTAACCTCAAAATTTCATCTTTCATATGCAAATCAATAATCATACCAAATTTTCAAGATGCTCTAAATCCAATTCTATCACTTCATATCTCTTAATTAAGTTGATGACAAGTCAAATTTAGTTTCAAATTCAACTTATCAACTCTTTTCCAAAAATTCACTTAAAAACTCATTCTCTTTAATCTTTCATAACTTTTTAATCTTTTGATTTTAAGACAAGTTAACCTTTCCTTAAGCTTAAGTATCACCTAAGGATTAAAACCCATACTTAAAATCAACAAACAATCAAGTAATCAGAAAACTCACCTTTGCTCCCTTGGGTTCACGGTGGAGAAGAAGAAAGCAAGAAGAAGAAGAAGAGAGTTTTCCAGCTACTTCTCCCCCTACATGTTTCTCTCTTATTAAAGGGGAAAAAATAGCTTCCATGTCAAATGACCAATTTGCCCTTTATTTCATTTAATAATTACTAACAATAATTTATAAACTATTTCCATATTAGTAATTGAACTATTCAACTATTCCACTTTAATCACCAAATTCTAAAGTTTTACAATTTAGTCACTAACCCATAGTTTGGAATGTTACAATTTAATCCTCTATTGTTGTTCGTTTGTCGTAGCAGTCAGGGACGGAATCAATATTAAATATTGACAGAGGTTAAAATAGTGATTTTAAAAAAAAAAATACAATGACTTATTAGGTATTTAAACTCAAAATTCAGAAGACAATGCCTAATTTGTCTAATATTTAACCCTATAATGACCTAAATTGTTATTAGACAAAAAAAATTGAGAACATAAGATTATCATTCTTTAATTCAACCCCTACTTGATTAAATACTTAATAAATTCTTATATATTTTTAATTTGAATACTTATTTTTACATGAACTGAAATTGTCCTTTTTTTTTTAATTTGAAGTCTTATAAATTCAAACTTCAATATTATATATATATATATATATATATATATATATATATTATTTTACATTGATTTAAGATTATTTAACGAGTGTAAATTGATAGTTGAAATTAAAAATTAAAAATGATAAAAAAAATTTAAAAATGAATAATCTAAACCATCAATTTACACTCATTCAATAAATTTTATGCTATTTGTAAGTTTTACTTAATATAAACAGGTTATATTTTATAAAATAATATATTAACTAGTATGTAGTTAAAGTTTAACAAATTAAAATTAATCTTTTTCCAACTAAATTAAAATAAAAATAATAATAATTGAATCCAACCGATCTCACCATGAAGTTGTGTTGAATCGTAAACGGCGACTGTGATAAGCGTAAGGTACCAAACTCAACGCGTCACTTGTAGCAATTGGACAACGTGGCCGTATGATTGATCGGTTTTGTAATCTTCAACTGCAATTAATAATTAATGTAAACTTGACTAAAAATGTTTTAGATCATTTCGGCGTACTTTGAATCGGTATTTAGCTAATAATAATATTTATTATGTTTCGAGTCTTTTATACTCGAGTTCATCATTAGGGGCATAGTTGTCTTTTATATTGTCATATATTATAAATGTAATAAAATTTTAAAAGATTAAAATATACTATTATTTTAGATTTAAACTTATAGTTTATTAATAGGATCAAACAGAAAATTATCGTTTTTAGGAGTAAAAGTGTTGATGTTTAACAAGAAGATGACGGTTTTTAATAATCGTATTTTTTTTAATGTAAATAAAAATTAGATGGTGGTTGTGACTTAAATACCTATATAAATCTGGGATGAATACAATATAATATATATTTAAAGACTCTTAATCTTTTAATAGTGAACACTTGTATACTATTTCGTACGTAATGTTCAAACTCGGATCCTCAAATAATAACAATAAATTCATTAACCACTAAATTCCCTCAAATCATTTCGAGAAAACTATAAAGTGACGCATTATATTTTTCATGTTTCGATATTTAGTATATTCTTTCATTCCTTTCTAAATATATGTGGTTACAGTTACAATTTATAAAGTATTTTATTTAAGATATTATTATTACCCAACTATATTTATATTTATATAAATTTTAAAATATTTGTGCAAAAGTCATAAATAGTTGATTTCTTTTTCTTTTTTTATAGTTACAGTGCAATTAACAAATCTTTGAGGCATCCTTACGGTTGAAGTTTGATGCCCGGACTTCAAGGGCACTCCACAACTAGCAGTTCATGGACTGTAGACAGTCGTTACGAGCCACAATAACATCCAAATATTAATTTGAGTATATAAAACCATTTTTAAAAATGTAAACATATAAAACCATTTTCGCCGATCAATTCATAAATCTAATTTAAAAATGTAAACATTTATCAACAATAAATAAAGAAAAGATTAATAAAAAATAAGTGTTTAAAGTATATTCAAACTTTATTTTTGATATTTAAAGATTTTTTTATTAAAAATAATAATCTAACATTTTTAATGTTGCACTTTTATATGTCATTAAATTTATTTATTAAATAACATATGTCACTACTATATATTTTAAAACACTTTTATTTTTTAAATAAAAATAATATTTTTATTAAAGAGAAATTATTTTTTAAAAGAATTACCCCCAACCGTCCCCACTCACCCCCAAGCTTCCCTCTCCCAGCCATCTCCTTCCTCTCAATATTTTGGATTATTAAGATTAAATCCCAACTAAATTCTCTGTCCACTGTCCATTGAGTTTAAGATTAGAGATCTGGGGGTTCGAGATTTGAGGCAAAGATAAGGGTAATAATCAATCAATAGGTGAGCAACGATGAAGATGGTAGCTGAAAATGACCGACGACAATTATAAATGTATTTAAAATTAAAGATTTTAAAGTTTTTCTTTCTAAATTTTTTAAAAATTTTTTATTTTAAAATAATCTTTTAATAAAGTCTAACACATGTTATATAATGATATTTTTAACGGTTATTATAGTCTAGACACATAAAATTATAACGTCCAAAACGTTAGACATCTAAAAATATAATAGAGAAATTATTAAACATTTATTTTTAATAAAAATTCTTTAAACACCTAATATTAATTTTAAGTATAATTTAAATATTTGTCATTATATTAAATCATAAAAAAATTATAGTAATTTTATTTTTATTTATCAATCCCCTTCATCGTGGGTACGCGAAAATGTCAATCCGACGGTAATGACCCTCTCCAACTCTCCAAAAGGTTTGAGTTTCCACGCCTTAATTTTATTACGCGTGCCCGTTGACTACCTTTCCAAATTCCTTTTTTTTTTCTTTCACTGCCTCACTTTCTATTTATAAAACAACCTCCTTCACCTCTCTCCATTCAACCTACAACAACCCAAGATTCTGAGTTTAATTCTTCAGAGTTGCTGAACAGAAAAGAAGGAGGAGGAGACTACTTTATTCATATAAATCTTGTTTCGAATGAAAAACTCTGTTGTAGAGAGGAACAGGAATGTCTAATATATCGACGTCTCTTTCTGAAGTTTGCCTTACTCTCTCTCGCCTTACCATGTCCATCGCCGATCCATGGCCCTTTTCATGAACTTCTTCTACCTCTAACCAAATCCTTTCAGCTTATTCTTGTCAGCTTATACCGACAAAAAAGGAAAACACGCTCGCAAACAAAGGTCGATTTACTCTTTTGTTTGGTTTTATCCATGAGGAAGATAAGAGGCTTCAAGATCGGGAAGCGGCTAGTCCAAATCTCCGGCTGGTTCATCCGAAAATCTAGGAATCCACTTGGATACCGTTCCACGACCCAAAAAGCGTCGTTTTGTAACTCGAAGCCTTTCTCCAAACTTATTGCTTGGTGTCGCCGCTTGACACAAGGAGCCAAATCTCTTTGCTCAGTGAAACCCGGGTCGGGTTACGTCCCCATTAGTCAAGACCCGATCAAACATGAAGTCCCGAAAGGACACTTGGCCGTCTACGTTGGTAAAAAAGACGGCAATTTTCATAGAGTTTTGGTACCCGTTATTTACTTTAACCACCCTTTGTTCGGCGAGCTCTTGCGAGGAGCCGAAGAGGAGTATGGTTTTAGCCACCAAGGTGGAATCACAATTCCTTGCGGGTTCTCGGAGTTTGAGAGAGTCCAGAACCGGATCGCAGCCGGAACCAGAGGATTGAAAATGTCATGGAAGCGCTACCATAGGAAGGCCGCTGCCGGTGGTGGTAAAAGTGGTTGATATTTGAATATTTTGATAATACCATAATTAATTATGGGCAATGATTGTGACTACGATGTCTTCGGAATTAATGTTTTGGTAGATTTATTACCCTTTTTTTTCACTTTTTCGAAGACGCGGTGCTATGGATTTTCGTTTTTACAAGTATACTTTTATACTGAATATATTTTCACTGTTATAAAACAATTAGTATTTCAACTTTTGTATAAAAAATATTTATAGAAAAATAATGTCGATGGACAAGTTCAGACGGGTTAGTTTTTCCCGTTATTGTAATCGTACATTGCTTGTCCTTTTTATCTATATAAAGTATATTTTGTCATTGTTTAGTATTATATTATATATACGTACATATATATGAATAAGAGATGGTAAAAAATAATATCAAAGATGCAGTATAGACTTATTGCATATAATTTTGACAACTGTTGATGCTCTGCTGCATTTGTCTTCAAATAAACAAGCAAATCTTCCCAACACTATTGAAGGATTGCTTATCAGGGTCGGCAGCAAATGCCCACAACCGGAAAAATGGCTCCGATGGAGGTGATGGGGAAAAAATGGCTGAAAAAGGGGGTTAGAAAAATTATTTGTTGAAGTGAGGTAAATTTTGCAGTGTTATTGGAAGACGTTCGAAGTACATGATGTCTTTTCGAAAGATGGTCAAAGCACCCGACGTCTTCAAGTTTTTCATCCATGGAAGTTGAATAATGAAATCTTGAGGACACCGAGTATTTTGCTCGTCTTCCGAGAAGACGTAATGTGCTCTGCCGTCTTCTGGTAGTACTGCAACTTTCTCCCTAGCTCAGGAAATAAAACAATAAGAGCAACACAGAGGAAAATAAATTTTTCCAGTGCCCTATTTGGGCGGGGAAGCCGCCCACATCCTAAACATTTCAAAATAGGGATAAGTGCTCGATTGAGTCAAGTCAAAAAGTTTTGATTTATTCAAGTTGATAAGTCCTATTTTATAATATATATTTTTAGTCGAGTGAAGTCGAGTTGTTCGAGTTTCTATAACTGTATACAATATATATTTCTTCATATTAAGTCTGAAAATGTTACAAGTTTAAATTTTTTCGACTTTAAGTCGGATATCGATTTTTTATTTCAGTGAAAGTTGATAATGTTTAAGCTCACAAACTTTTAAATTGAGTTAAATTCAACTTTAAACTTTTTGAATCGGATCAAATGTTAACAATACTCTAATTAGACTCATCTTATTTACAGCCCTAGTTGGCACAGTGATTCTCACCATAAATGTCTCTATCAAGCATCTTGAAGGTGGTAGTGGCGATTCTTGAGGTAGTTCCACCGCAACTTTGTTTGGATGCGTAAAAATGGATCGTTTGACACTTCAATGGCCCTGTGCCAATTGGCACATAAAGCTCTCTGGTCCATGTGCTCCATTATTTAGCCCTACTTAATCCCATGTGCATCGTCTTTCCATTATTGAGAAAAATACGAGCTTATTTCATATCGGTTCTGCATGGGTAGCCTGAACCTGAGCTTGCTTGAGACCAATATAATATTTAATTTCGATCGTAATACATTATAACAGTCGCATCATAATATTTTTTAAGAAACAATAATATCGTAACTACCACAACAACTGTAACCGGCAACACCACAATAACAATTTAATACTATTCAGACAATAGTGGGCTGTTTGTTGTGTCCTAAATAAGGCTGCACGAATTTGACCTATTGTGCGTGATAATGTCAGTTGGGATATAGAAATGGTCACACGACCAACTTTTGGATCGATTCTTGGATCAATGGCATGAGCTCGCTGGTTGACATCATCAACATGAATCAATTTCATTTCCCTCAAGCTTTCGTTCGTGATTTGATTACTAGTGATGGAGGTTGGGATGTTCAACGTTTGCGTCAATTACTCCCTACTGACATTGTCCAGCGTGTTTTAGGAACTCCTCCCTCGGATGATTTGGGCGAGGATCTTCCGGTGTGGCACTAGGATCAGTTGGGATTGTGCTCTGTGAAATACGCTCCTGTGTGTACCCAGAAGGATAGTTGGGATGAGTGATGCAAAATGGAAGTTAGCGTGGAGTTTCGATGGCCCATAGAGGATTCGACAGTTCATATGGTTGTTTCTCCGCCGCCGACTTATGACCAATACCGAACGGAAAAGACGGGGTCTTGCGGATGATGATCGTTGTCTGTTGTATGGCGCTGAGGAGGAATCAATTACCCATATCCTTAGGGACTATCACCAAGCCCGTGCAATATGGAACCATATTATTCCAGCTCAATCTTTTTTTCTTTATTTTTTTTCACGGCCATTATTTGATTGACTGCACCTTAATCTTTCGAACTTTGCAGGGAACGATACTGTGGATTATCACTGGAGACACCTTTTTGGGATCCTTATTTGGAAGCTTTGGAAACATCGCAATAATGTAGTGTTTAACGGGCAAATTGATGCTTCCTCTGATCTCCTTCTATCGGCCAAAGCTTGGGCAGGCTAGATCAAACAAGGCAAGGCTATGTATACAACCCAACCTGTTCAACATAGATGCTCGACCAAATGGAAGCTTTCTCCTCTAGGAGTTTTAAAGTTAAACACGGATGGAACGATGCAACCGAGCTCCATGGAAGCAACAAGTGGAGGTGTATTTCGAGATGAGAATGGTAAGTGGATCGTTGGATATAGCAAGAGAAACGGTAAATGCAATGCCCTCCAAGCCGAATTATGGGATGTTTCAGATGGTCTTGAACTTGCTTGGCAGCATAGCTTCCGACATATTGTGATCAACACTGATAATATTCAAGTGGTCCACAATCTCAACTCTCTTTCCCAGTCGTTTGAGCTTACGCTTCTTAGGAGAATTCGTGCTCTTCTCAATCGGTCCTGAAGCGTTAGAAGTAGTCACACTCCAAGGGAAGCTAATCGGCTTGTTGACTGCCTTGCTCGCATGGGATATTGTCAAAGCATGGAGATTTTCACGCTCACTCAGCCCCCTCAAGAAGCTCATCACGTTTTTAATTCGGACATGGCTAACATCCTAGATCGATCTACCCACTAATTAATTTTGTGGCTATCTTTGTTTACAAAAAAAAAGGCAGCAGCAACCTTATTACGAGCCCAAACATGATGCAATGTGGTCGATCTTTTTGTTGTTTACGAGGGGATCAAATGGGGTCTTTTTTAATAGGAAAAACAGACGGAAAAGCAATCAGAAACTCACTTCCACAACACTAAAACAGAGCACAAAAGAAAGCAAAGCCAAATTGAAGGGGGGGAAAAAGCAAGGGAGAAACGAAGAAAAAATGTTTTGTAGCCTTGAATCACACTCCTTTCACCGAACAATCAAACCCCTTCTCTTTCTCTTGCTCTCTCTTAGTTGCTTTGTTCATTTTGTCAGTGCTAATATCTTTATTTATGCCGGTTGCTCTCAAGACAAGCACGCATCGAACTCACCATTCGAAGGTAACCTCAACTCTTTTCTATCATCAGTCGTTAGCTCATCCTCCCAAGTCTCTTACAATACATATGCTATTGGAAATGGAAGCTCGACGCCGCCCGACGCCACCTTATACGGCTTGTACCAGTGCCGGGGTGATTTGCAGAAGGCCGATTGCAAAAGGTGCATGCAAAGTGCCGTTAACCAGATAGTCTCGGTTTGTCCCTACTCTAACGGTGCTTCGTTACAACTTGAAGGCTGCTATTTGAGATACGATCATGCTAATTTCTTGGGGGTCCCCGATACGAGTCTGAAGTTCAAGAAATGCAGTAAAAGTGTGAATAATGATGTCGAGTTCTACAAGCGTAGAGACGATGTTCTAGACGACTTGGATTCTTCTATCGGCTTCAAAGTCAGTTCGTCGGGTTTGGTCGAAGGGTTTGCTCAGTGTTTGGGGGACTTGAGCGCCACCGATTGCTCTTCGTGCCTTGCAACAGCTGTGGGAGAGATGAAGAGCTTATGTGGATCGGCTGAAGCAGCTGGCGTGTTCTTAGGGCAATGTTATGCTCGATACTGGGCTTCTGGCTACTATGCTGAACTCTCTCCAGGTGCAATTCACATTCCATATAACTCTTTTTTTTTTTTAATTTTCGTTTCCGATTTATATTTAAGATAATATCATTTCTAAAGTTTGAACATTTAGAATAAACGGTATTGATTAAATGTGTCATTGTTTTATGAAGTCGTTTTTTTTTGGATAATCAGATACTTTTACTAAAAGTCAATTCCACAATTCGAGAGAAACCATCACTTTTCATTCGAATAAGAACCATATGGTTTGCTTTCAAAGCAGCATTATTGGCTGACGAATAAAATAAAGCAGTAGAGGGAATATTGGTATAACCATGACCAAACCCTAAATAGTGGAAAGATTCCAGTCGATAACCTTCCAGTGGTCTTTCGGAATTTCCCTACCTAAAGCACTTTACTCAAGTTGAAGCTACGGAATATTGAAAGGATTGAGTTTTGCCCATGGTTATCCTTCAATTTTGATTAATATTTGCTTCCTTTTGTATGTGGTGTAGATTCCCACCACGAAGATGATGTGGGAAAAACAGTAGCAATAATCCTGGGTGTATTAGCAGGTCTAGCCGTTCTCATTGTTCTCCTCTCAATCTGCCGAAAGTCTTCGAGTGAAGCTCTTTATTCTACTTCATTGTCTTCTTGATTTCTATTCTCATTTGCAGACTGCAGAGATAATAAGTTTGAGCCTTCTATTTTTCTTTTCACAGATTGAATGAATCTGCCCCTGGGGAGATGTGCATGGTCTTTTTCAGGCCTCGCAAAGTGTATTCTTTGTTTCAGAACTGAATAATGTTGGAATTTTTATTTTTGAAAAAAATAAGGTGACAACTCCAAATCTTGTGAAATCTTTTAATGGAGCCGTAATCTTCATCAACTTCGAAAAAGAGCTGAAGATTCCTTCTCAAAGCTGACATAACATCCATTCCCTTTGTTTACAGAAACGTAAATATAATTAATAAATGTTGGCTGGGGTGGTTTCTCCTCAAAACAAACCCGCAAATCAAATGCGCATCTTTCTGCAAGCTGAGTCTTGAACGTCTTCTTCGATACCATGTACCACTTCTCTGTCATTATGTAAATGATATACTTGTAATATAAAAGGCAATTGATAGTTATTTAATATGAAAATGGAAACATTGATGAGCAAACACCAGTTTTGAAGTCGATAACAACGTTTCATAACAATAACATTTTCCTTGCATCTGCTCTTTCAGCAATCTAAGGGCACAACTAAAGCATAGAAACAGATGATGCTCAGATCATGGGACTGTATTGCTGCATACTTGCAGCCAATTTAAAACCCAGAAGAACAGTTGAAGCACAAAGACAAATGAACTTTGTCAAGAAACAGCGAGCTCCGATGTAGAGATACAACTACTGTGATTTTGTAACTACAGCAATAACAACAAATCACAAAGACAAACAGCATACTATATTAGTACATATGTGCATTACTCGTTAAACTCTAAATAGATTTGCGTGGTGCTGGTAATTTACTCGTTAATCTTCATTCCGGAAAGATAAACTCGGCTCTTGATGACACTGCCACCAATCTCAAAGCCAGGCATGACCATTAGCCCAACCTTGGGCTTCTCATTGGTATCATCCATCATCAAATTCTTCTCTACACTTTCCATATAAACCTCTGAGAACTCGCTCCCCCTTTTAACTTGAAAGACTTTCACATTAGGGTCGAACGAGTAGGCTAGCCTATGCAAAAGCCAAATAGATTTAGCCAATTTTAGAAAGGCTTGGTAAAATGGAGTCCTAGGATGTCCACCTCCCATTATGTAATTACGCTGGTCTAGATTTCCAAAGAATGAAGCTTCCATCTTTGGATGAACGACCATCAGGTACTTGCTCTGGGAAAATTTCCCAAAAAAGGAATCAGGATTCTGGCCCAACATGTCCAATGGATCCATCTCCCTCAGGGCCAGATATTGGTGGAAGAAGCTCTCTGTATTGACCGTAGCGTTATCTAATTTAATAGAGAAATTCTCCTGTTGAAACCCACTGAACATCCTCTGGCAAATGTGGGACTCAAATGCATATTTCTTGTGAGCTCTCTTGGCATAAACAACGTTGGGCTCAATTGAGTCGGCGGCAGCATCAAGGTCCCAGCCAGCAGCTTTCATCATGTTGATTAACGGTTTAGAAAAATCATGAATTGATTTGAAAGCAGATTCAACAGCTGATGTGAAGAGCTCGTGTGTCAAATCCACAGGAAAGATTCCATTTTCTTCTCCTGAGCCTTCAGATTCCTTTATAGACAATCCCCTAAGCTTTATATTCTTTTCCAGTTTCACTCTCTTCTGGTTTGCATCTTCAATTTGCCGCTCCAACTGTCGAATCTCGGAATCCTTATTCTGAATTTCAGACTGAAATTTCTTAACCATAACCTCATAGGTTTTCAGCAGGCTCTGCTGTTCTTGGATCTCAGCAGCTAAACGAGAATCTTGAGGAGAAACACACACTGGCTTGGGATTCTTTTCCCTGTAAAAATGCTTCAGTTCAGATAGATTCTTCAGCTCGTATATTACAAGTTTATCAGCAGCTTGGATCTTTTCAGGGTCATAGGGAGTATGAGCAGTTTGTAGCTGAATATAAGCTGACTTGAGGGAGGAGATGTTCGTAAATAATTTGGATATGAGAGCTTCCACATCTTCTGGATTCTGGTTCATGCTCTCTTCCATGGGTTGAGGGTGGACTTTTGGATTGTTGCTATCACGGAGATGAGTATCTTTTGCCCCAGTTGGTTGCATAGTTTTTACCAATCAAGGGGATAATTGAAATGGAATCTTTCAGAAAAAATACTGCTACCAGAACACCTGCGGATTCAGACAGTGTTAAACCTTAGGCAACTTTTCACGTATATCATATATGATGCAAAGCATGTACAGAAAACAGCTGACTTTCAGCAGGCGCTATTATACCAGCCATGATGAAGATTTGAATGAGTACTCGAACATAACAAAATATAAAAATATTGAGCAATCTTTATGTTCATTAAACTCACCAAGTTCTCAGTTTAATTCTAGCTTCTGGTTCACCCATAATATAACTTGACTGATATTTCTATGCCATGTGGTAACTTTGAAATCGGAAACAACAAAAGGAGTTTCTTTCCTACATTTAGCCCATATCTTAGACGTAGTAACTCAAAAATACTGTTGAAAATGCATGGTGAACTGGGCAATTGGGCACATATTTTGGTTGTTCAATGATCTATGCGATACAAACTATTAGTCGTGTATAACATAAGAGTTAGAACCTGAGCATACCTGAAAAGATCACAGGCCCTCTCCAGGATATATCCACTAAACATAATCACCTTCAACCTGAAAACAACAGTAACGAATAAAGCCGACATCAAAAAAAAAAAAAAACAGTAACGAATAAACTAAAAAGCTTCCCAGAAAACGATGGATTAAAACAAAAGCGCACCAAAATAAATAAAATCTTTCTTTTTCCCAGAAAATATAGCTCCATCATTCATCATTTTGAAGTTCATCTGATTCGGTACACTACCAGTAATAACCTAAAGCAATGTTTTAAGAAGCAAAAGATAAAATTTTCGAACGATTTAACATACATAACCCGAGACCCACTAAGAATTGTTCAATAAACGAGGTAAAGAGCACATTTTTAATAAGCAAACCCTTAGATACACAAGATTCCCAGCAAAAAAATCGTTCTTTAGCTTAAAAAGAAAATGCAAGCAATTAAAACCCTAAATCTAAGATTGTACAGTAATGTAAGACCTAAAGTGACCAAATTTAACCAGGTAAACCTTGGGTTCTCGAATAATTTAGCTTTGTCGGGGATAATTTGGCGTGGAAGAAGAAATTTACCTGGACCGAAGATGTAGCCGGACGAGATTGGGAGTATTTTTTCAGACAAAAATATTAAACAGAAGGACAGAGAGAGAAGCAAAGCTTCGTAACATTTTGCTGAAGTTTTCAACTTTTCGCCATGGGCCCACGGTCCACTAGAACAGAACAAAGCAAACCCTATGATCATATTACTTGCAATTTACTTTATCTTGGAATTAAAATCAAAAAAATTTATGATAAGCTTGTTTGTTCATAATTTCAATTTCTTTTACAAGGAAGAATCACGTATGTTAGTTAAAATAAACTCAAGGAATGATTTAGTTGGTATAACATGGCATGTTTTCCTCGATAATTTAAATTTAAATAGTATTATTTGTATAGACTATGTAAATTTATTTAAAGTAGGTTATTAATCGGTAACAAATGTCGATAAGTTACGTGTATAAATTAAATGATATTTTATCAAAGACAATTTTGAAGAAGATTGTAGTTATTATATGTCGAAGTCATTGAATATATGATTTTGTGACAATTTGCGCAATCGAGGTAAACCTGCTATTCATAACTGGAATTGAGATATTCTATTTCTAGTGGCGTGCTATAATTTATGGAAGCATCGGAACTCTATTCTCTTTAATGCTAATCTCATAGAGCATGATATCATCTTATTTCGGAGTGGAAGTCTGATAAATGAGATATCTTTGGGCAGAACAATCCAACAAAGGAATTCTAGCCAAGATACAGGAGCATTTAAGTGGTACCGACAACCGGAGGGTTGGGTTAAAGCGAACACTAATGTTGCAGCGATATGGCGGTTGTTTGCGGGGGGAGTTCTACGATGTGAACATTTGGATTGACTATTTGGGTTTTCAAAGAGTCTCGAAGATTGACCTATCCCATTACCGGAGTTATGGGCGACATGCTGATGTATACATGGAGACTAGGCTACTGCAAAGTGCAAGTGGAGACTGATAATGCGAAGATTATAAAAATTATGGCGTCCTCCTCGACTGTGTTAGTGGATATTGTTATTGTTGAATCAATTAGAATGCTATTAGAACAAGAATGAAAGGTCAAGATCACTCCGATTCGGAGAAAAGTAAATTCGGTGACTGCTATGCCTGAGAGTTTCTTTTTGAAGAACCATGAGATGAGGTGACTGTATGGATTATTCAATAAGCTGAAATCAGCGACTAAATTTTTGTGTCAAGGAAAATTCTTTAATTGTTTAAAAGATTAATGTTCTCTGTAATCGTTTTTAGAAAGACCGTTTCATGTCAAGGAAATGAATCGAACAACACTTAGAAGTAAAGAGCTCGATTAAGGATTGCTTCTGTTCTGCAATACCTATTCACTTAATTGAACCTCTGGAACAGTGGCAGTTTAGATCGAAGCCGACAACAGCGTAAAGGAACTTGTGTGACAGGGATAGCTTTGGTTGATCATGGGATATACGTATTTTCCATTAATGATTAAAAGACGATCACTTTTGTTTACAACTTGCTGCTCACATTAACTATCCAGCTCTAAAGTGAAAGGATAATTTAAAGATGTTCCTTTCCACCAAATCTTCACATGGTGTGCGTGGAACTTTAAAATTTAGAATCTTTCTTTTCACCACACAGTCACAGTTGATCTATATGTTCATCTTGCTCTGTAACCAAAGGTTCAACAATGTCCTTAAATCTGGGGGAAAAAACTAATCAAAATGTCAGCTAAGTTAATGAAAAAATCTGGGCCTTGTTTGATAAGCCATGAAATTAGGAATTGAAGATGATAAGCCGAGGGACAATGTTGTGTAAGGACTTTGTTGGTCAGAGTTGGGTGTATAATTAACCTTGAAGCTCACTCTTGTTTAATTTTGATGAGTTTGTAAATGAAGTAAAAGCAAAGCTTTGTTTAGTGTAATACTTGTTTCTTCAGAATTTAACAATGTGGATTGCTATCTACAATCCCACATGATTCTAGCTTAGCTTAAAATAGATTAAAATCCAAGATTTCTAAACAAAATTCCATAGAAAGTTTGGTTACTTTTCTGTTTTATTAGTTTAATGTGTCCATCTCATTAAACTAATTGTAATTTATTAACAAAAGAATATGAACAAGAAGATGTTTAAAGTTGCTATTTTTAACCAAGTTAATTGAATCAATCCATATAATTAAATTACATAAAGTTGTTGTTTTTAATTAAAAAAATCATATCTTGATTGATCTCTGTTTTATTTTTAGAGCCAATGGAAGGGAAACTAAACGGAACAACAAACCAAGCAACCCTTTTCCCTTCGAGAGCGCCCATTTTCATCACAAAATAAAACAGAGCAAGCACGGGAGAGGTCCACCACCCAGAAAGAGAAGAACAACTTCCCTTTCCGCCGCTTCCTACGCCACCACCGAAGCAGAGATACCCATTACTACAAATCTAAGAAAATAAATATATAGATAAAGATATCCTAATTCAACGTCTTTTTTTGTTTCTCCAAATAACCTTAGAGATGTCAAAACAAATGTCTCATCTTGACAACATTCCATCAACTCCGGGGAAATTCAAGATGGAAAAATCACCCTTCGTTCACAACAGGCTGAGGTGGCATTCCTCTCTTGCAAAGCTCGCATTTTGGTCATTTATCTTCTTGGCCCTGATCTTGATCTTCTTCTTTCGATATCCTTCATCTAATCCCCTCCCGCAAGATCCCTCTCGGCGCTCGCTCCGTACGTATAATTGGGGCGGACCCGCTTGGGAGAAAAGGGTTCGTTCCTCCGCGCGTGCCCGTTCCCGCAATGGCATTTCCGTTTTGGTCACCGGAGCTGCCGGTTTCGTCGGTACCCACGTGTCGGCTGCTTTGAAAAGGCGCGGAGATGGTGTTCTTGGACTTGATAGTTTCAATGACTATTATGACCCTTCACTGAAAAGAGCTCGGCAAGCGCTTCTGGAACGAAGTGGGGTTTTCATTGTTGAAGGAGATATCAATGATTCTGCTCTTTTGAAAAAGCTTTTCGAGGTCGTTGCATTTACCCACGTTATGCATTTGGCTGCTCAAGCTGGGGTCAGGTATGCAATGGAAAATCCTAGCTCTTATGTGCATAGCAACATTGCTGGTCTTGTTAGTTTACTAGAAGTATGCAAGTCAGCCAATCCACAGCCTGCGATCGTGTGGGCGTCTTCGAGTTCGGTTTACGGTCTTAATACCAAAGTTCCATTTTCTGAGAAAGATAGGACTGATCAGCCTGCTAGTTTATATGCTGCTACTAAGAAAGCTGGTGAAGAGATTGCACATACTTATAATCATATATATGGACTTTCTTTAACTGGTTTGAGGTTTTTCACGGTTTATGGTCCTTGGGGAAGGCCGGATATGGCATATTTCTTTTTCACTAGGGATATCTTGAAGGGGAAGTCCATACCAATATTCGAGGCAGCTAATCATGGTACGGTGGCTCGGGATTTTACCTACATTGATGATATTGTGAAAGGGTGTTTGGCAGCCCTGGATACTGCTGAGAAGAGTACTGGTAGTGGAGGGAAGAAGAAGGGTCCGGCTCAATTGAGGGTATATAATTTGGGGAATACTTCGCCAGTGCCAGTTTCGGATCTTGTTAGTATCTTGGAAAGGCTTTTGAAAGTTAATGCTAAGAGGAAAATTATGAAGTTGCCACGAAACGGGGATGTTCAGTTTACTCATGCCAATATTAGCTTGGCTCAGAGGGAGCTTGGGTATAAGCCCTCAACTGATTTGCAGACTGGTTTGAAGAAATTTGTCAGGTGGTATCTCAGCTACTATTCTGGAGGGGAGAAGGCTGCTAGCTAATTCATTCTTTGAATTGTGGTAGGATCCTCCGAATTCTTGTTCATTACCATTCTTATGATTGTTTTTAACATTTATCTGTTCATTAGGCAATTATCGTTGTTTCATACATCTTTAGTGATGCCCTGTAAGGAAGGATACTGTGTCCTACATGGAAGAAGTTTTGTGATAACTGCACATTGTTTGCTGGCCAGGCACACGTTGTATCAAAAGAACACCGGAAATTATTTTTTTCTTTTCATTTTTCTGTCCCGTGGAATGGAATTGTTGTAGTTTTGGCATTTAGAATTCATGAACTGATAGAGCATAAGCTGATCGTTGGACATGTATCATTGGTATGCAATTCCAATAAAATAGAACTGGATAATATGATCTTTTTTTCCTTTGGTCGTGTTTGAAAATCTTTTCTTTTAACGTTTGCACATCCCTCACCCTCCCCCACTATCGTGGTAAAAGAAGAAAAAGAGATACACTTAATATAATAATTATACCTCAATCTTTATCGCACTTTTGTAAAATTAATGTGCTAATGTTGATGCCTTGCTATGCTCTTTTGCTTGTTAGATAAGGTATTTGTCCTGACTTTGACACCTATAAAGCATAGAGGTATTGATCCTTTCTTTCTTTCTTTCTTTCTTTCTTTTGAGATTGATATAAATGAATGAATACAATATTGTTTCTGAAATATGTTTCAGAATTGATGTTTAATAATTGACAACTATTTATGGTTTGAACAAGTTGTGTCTATTGGCTGTTGAACTTTTGGAATGGTTATTCTGTTGTTACTGGCTTTATGATTTATTGAACTTTGTACACTCTTTAAGTAGTGCTATCCAGCATGGTCCATGATCGAAGAATCATTTATGTTAACAAATAGTGGGATGCTAGGCAATCGTCGACGGTCTTTATTCCTTCATGGTCTGGTCCATGTACAACTAAAAGATCCTTATCTTTAGAAGCATCCGCTTCGAGTCATATTTTGATGTAATTTTTTTACAGCTTTTGCATATTCATGGAAAGTGGTGCCTTTACCAGTCTTCTGTGGTTGAAAAACCTCTTCTTATACAATGTGAGCAGAATTTATGTAGCCTATAATGAAGTTACATGGATTGTTCATCGAAAGGAGAATATGAAATGCTGATGGGTTCTTCTTTCGAGCAATGTACTTGAAGGGGATAGTTTAAAGAATTTCACAGTATTTCATGAAGTGTTAGATTTGATTAAAGATGTTCTCATCTGGCAAACTAAAACTTTTTTATGCATTTGCCTTTGCATATATTGAGAAAATTCACCCATATTTAGTCAAAACGATGATGCTATTTTTGTGTTCGTGTCGGTATTTGCGGATAAGGGAAATTCGTATGTCACATTACCTTGAAGTTGAATCCTCGAAGAACCAGATGCTTCAACAAATACAACGTGGAATGAGAATCCTCGTTGTCTACGATACAATCCGATGCGGTGTTATGATCTGCTCGAAATCTAAAGCCTATCTATGTTGTTGCATACATATTAAACTGGTTGCTTCATGAAGTTACGGTTGTCACAAAACAGCTAAAGAAAGGTCCGAGAGAATAAGTTTGACATCGCTTTTACTTATGTTTCAATATTTTGTTCTTTAAATTTCTGAATTTGGAATCCTTAATAGCTATTGATTCTTGTGTATTAGTTGCTGGAAATTTTAGTGTAGAAATGGAGTAATAGTAATAGAATGGACAGAACGAAAAATGCTATCAGTATGTTATTGAAGGATTGATAATTATGTTACACTAATTAAGTAGCATACAAGGTGACTCTTGAATTGGATGCTGAAAAACTATCCAACAAAGAATAGATCTCCATAACTTGGGGATGTGACTTATCTTGAACAAAGAACTCATGAACAGTTCCCTCTAGTTCAATCCAGCTACAACCGGGAATTTTCTTCAGATTTCTTTCTTTCATCATCAACCTAACCCTACTAACAGAATTCCACATACCCAGGCCAGCATACATGTTGGATAAAAGTACATAAGAACTCGAATTACAAGAGTCCAGTGTGATTAACTGCTTAGCCGCTGGTTCTGCAACATTGATTTTGTCATGGTTTTTGCAGGCACTGAGTAAACTCCTCCAAATCACATCGTTCGCTTCGATAGACATTTCTTCGATAAACTTTCTCGCTTCATCTATCTGCCCCGCCCGGCCTAGGATGTCAACCATGCATCCATAGTGTTGCAGTTTCGGTACCACTTTGTGAACTCTTCTCATGATATCAAAGCAAATCAGACCTTCCTTGACCAAGCCAGCATGGCCACAAGCGTTCAGCACCCCAATATATGTGATATCATCAGGCTCTACACACAGCCTTTCCATATCCATGAGCAATTTGAAAGCCAATTCACCCATGCCATGAATGGCTAACCCACCAATCATAGCATTCCAGTGATCAACAGTCTTGGATTCAGTGCCCTCGAAAACCAACACAGCATTCTCTATGCTCCCCCATTTCAAATACATGTCAATTAGAGCAACCCCAAGTTTTCCACCCATGGAAAACTTCCTTTGCTTTAGATAACGATGCAGAGCCAACCCTTTGTCAATACACCCTAATTGTGCAATTGCTGAAAGAGCAATCGACAATGTAGTTCTATCAGGTTGCAAATGACCATCCCTTTGCAAATGATAAAATATTTCCAAAGCTTCTGCACAATAACCATTTTGGACATAACCAGCCATCATGGCATTACACACAACAACATCTCTTTCTGGCATTTCATTAAACAAAGACCTAGTTAGATCAATCTTACCTATTTTAGAATATCCGTTTATCATATCGGCCCAACTAACGACATCTCGATTCGGCATCTTATCGAACAAATCCTGGGCATCTTCCATATTCCCACACTTTACAAACCCATTAATCATTGAGTTCCAGGAAATCAAGTCCCTATCAGGCATTTTGTCAAACAATACCAAAGCCAAATCCATCCCATTTTTCAACCGCGTGTAACCACTAATCATGGAATTCCAAGTTATCAAGTTCTTATCCTCCAGTGGCATAAAGTCAAACAACTCCCTTGCTGAATCAATCACCCCACTTTTAATATACCCATCAATCATCGAATTATATGAAACAGGGTCCCGTGTAGACATTCTATCAAACAACTGACGTGCATATCCAATAAACCCACATCGTACATACAAAGAAATCAAACTATTCTGCAAAAATAAATCAGCCCAAGATTCAGCTTCCTCACCAAGCCATGAACCTGCATTCCTTCCTTCACTAAACCCAATCGAGAACAAGCTTTAAGCACCAAAGACAAGGAGAATCTATCCAAAGGAACCCCGTTTCTAAGCATCAAACAGAGAATAACAAAAGCTTGTCGTGCGTCACGCCCGTGAGAATACGACTTTATTACAGCGTTCCAAAGAAAAGGGTCTTCCTCGTGGTGTTCAGGCGAGCGAAAAGCAATGTGCTTGAAGAAGACATAGCGAGCGAAATCGACTAAAGGAGTGAACGGTGAAGGGGAGAAAGCGAGGACGATTTTCGTGGTGAGAAATTGATTTCTGATGAAACCGGTTGTTCTCAAACGGGCGTGGATTTGGTTCACGTCTTTTGAAGACTTGCATTTCTGGAGAAGAAGTACAGTTGGCAACGGTGAGTTCCAAGGCTGGCTTAGATTCGCACAGATAAGCATTGAACTCTGCCTTCTGGGTTTTAGATTATACAATGGAATTTGTGTGCCCTGGCTTTAGATATTATTTGGAAAAAAATAAAACTTCAGATATTATCATCTTTTAACGGTTTTCAACGGCCAAAATGCATGTGTCGCTGTCATCCCAGCAATGGACACGACACCGACGCCGTTTAGGGTGAATTTAGTTCACGGAATGTAAGATTATCTTTGGGAATAATATTATTAGAATGTAACATTACTTAATACATGACTGAGAATATTATTTTATTGTGTTTGGTTTGTTTGGCAGGAATGTAAGATTGCAGTATTTGGTTGAAGTAATAAGAGATTACTAGAACGTATATTTTACCAAATTGTCATTGTTCTACATGTTTTAACAAGTAGAATTCTAAATATTTAAATAAAAATATTTATATAAAAAATCATCGAAAATATATTGCTTTATTTTTTAAATTTATATACTTTATAATAAAATTTATATATAATTTTTTTATAAAATTTAAAAGATAAATAGGTAGAATAAAAGAGTAAATATATCATGTATTATCTTAATTATAAGTGATATTAATTTTTACATTATTTATCTAAAAATATATTAAAATTTTACATCAACATTTAACTAAATAAACATATGAAAATTTTAATAGATTTAACATTATCAATAAAAAATGATTTAACATTATCAATCAAAAGCATTGGGGTTTAGACACTTAATTTAGTCGAGTGATGCAAAGTAAAGGATGATCCAACTGTTCAATCAGACCCTTAATTATCCTAATCTGCAATCAGCACCCAACCACACAGCCACAGACTCTTTTAAACCCATATAACAGTTCGGTCAATGGATACTACCAGATTGAGCTTAAGCTACCGATCGCCACTTGGTTCATAACCACAAAGAAAATAGGATATGTTAATAGCCTAAACAACCAACATGATAAGACTAATTTATAATAACCTATGGAGATAAACACCAAACAAGTTCACAAAATGAGAATTACATAAACTAAATTTATAATAACCCATAATCGCGCAATTTCGAAGTTCTTTGACTCAATTTGAGCTTCCATTTCCGTCTATAACTCTGCCCTTGCAATGCCCCTTCCAACACATAATGATACAAATCGTGCAATATCTGCTTGCTACCTCATCTCTTCAACCTGTTTCAGCAGATCATCGTCTGTCACATCAATAGGATCTGCAGGCAGTAACAATCCCACAATATCCAACACTTGGTTCATTCTTTTCCACACACATCGCAGCTTGCTTAGAGCCTATTCTGCCTGCTTCCTCTTTTCTATTTCCATGAGTAAGCTCAATCTTATTTCTCACACTTCAGCTTCAGTATCACGATAGCTAGGCTGTGTACCACTCTCGGAGAGGTAATTCTGAAGGAAACAAGAAATCAAAGTAAACTTGATAAAACAACCACAAAATCATCCATATTCCAAATTAAGCTGTATCTATGGGAAAATTTTCATAGTTCCCAATATTTCAACAAAAATGTCGTATTTCATCCAGACATACTGGACACACATATGCACACATGAACATAGAAAATACTATAATATGACTTTTATACATGGCCTTTTCATTGTTAAGTCTTAATGTAATCAAGACATTTGAACAAAGGCTAGCACATGTCATAATATCACAGACGAAGTAGATACACCAGGTTTTAAATGAAAAAATTAGCAACATGCAAGAAATTTGTTTTTCAGCAACCCTACATTTAAACATATGCAGTTATCCATGATTAATAATGTAAGGTGATGGAGGGAACGAAGATGGTGAATCGGGTAGTGGAGTTGTCTCAGGAGTGGCATAGAGGGCAAGTGATGATATTTGGGGATGATTAACCTTCCTTTCAGTTACTGATGCACTATTCCTACTCTAGCTTCGAATTGGTTATAAGCTTTGGCTTGGGCAAAGGTGGTTTCATATTAGGACCAGACTTGTCAACAGATTCTGAAGTTCCAGGTTATAACAACCTATCCAAAGCTATAGCAGAAAACGTTGGCATGGCTCTGGATTACCAAAAACAAAAGCTAAAGTCAATAAACCCATACATATCATTTTCTTAGAAGAATAACCAGAAGGAAAGAGAGAAGAAAATCTCATTATTGCAACATATGAGAACATTCTACATTCCATAAACTAGATAAGATTCACCCATAGTTGTTAACTGTCTGTTCAAGTGACCAAATTACAACCTAAACTTCAATGATTTCCTCCTATCTCTAATCGGAACTGTGAGCTAACTATAACCATCTAAACCCTAAAGTCAAAGTCCCTAAACCAACATAGCCAAAAAAAAGTGTGGTCCGTCTTCCAATCCCTCAATCAGCAACCAGAAAAATTATGACAATAAAAATTAAACAGCTCAAACAATCTTAATTTCATATAGACAAATTTACTCATAATTTCAGATATTCTGTTTCACTAAAATAATTTTATTTGCTTCATGAAAAACTAAAACCTATATGCTGGTTTTGAATAAGAAATCATTCAACTAAATTAAAGCCCCCATACAAATATGACTCAATGAAAAAGAGAACCCAGAAACAGAGGTATCAAACACATACAAAAGTGAACACTTGAGTCTTCCTCTTGATTTACAGTAACCAATCAGAACGAAAAAATTATCCTTTAAAATTTCAAAATTCAACTACCTACTTCGACTATTAGATGAGTTGCAAAAAAAATGGAAAAAAGAATATAAACCGAACACGACCACCAATGCGATAACTAAAAACAAATCACATAAATTCCTGGACAGAAACAATGTTGGGGAGAAGAAGATAAAAGAAAGGAAATTTTAATGGGAGAAAATGGACAGAAGCAATGTCAGGGAGAAAATAAAAACCAAGTAACATTACTGGGAAAATAAAAAAAAGGGAATGGAGAAAAATCTTACCAGGAGAATTTCACTGGAAAACCACGAATTTTTATTCCTTCACATAGGCAAGTTCACGGGAGAAGAAGATAAGGAATGATATTTTAGCCCATTAAACACGGGAATAAAGAAATACCTAGGTGAGATGTGGGTAATATAGATTCAAAAAACACTGTTGATATTGATCTTTTACCCTCACTTAGGAATGTCAACCTATCCAAGCGTGGGAATCTTAACCTGGAAAAAAATATTACCTCTAGGAATATAAAAATCCGGGAACCAAACGCTCGTGTTTGGATGGAGGAATGTTGGATTCTTATGGGAATGAAATCCACACGTTTGGTTAGCTCGAGAATCTCATTCCCGGTAATGTAAGATTACCATTAGTGGATTTTTTGAGGTATATTACCGGAAATGTCATTACCTTCCTTTCCTTAGGTATTATTGGATTATAGGTGTTTTGGACTAAAATGTCCTTAAATTTTTATTTTTTTTCAAAAACATCATTCTTCTGTCATTGAATAATAAAAATTCTACGAAGGTTAAATTACAAATTTATCCTTAAATTATTATAGATTTACAAAAAAATATATAATTAAAATTTTATATGAAGTTCAGGGGTTAAAATAAAATTTTACCCTTTCATTAAATCATTTTATATTTTTAATTTTGTAAAAAAAAGTATATAAATATTATGAATTTAAATTTTTAAAGAAAATATATAAATATTTTCCAACTTGTAATATTATACAAATATATAATAAGGACAATTTGGTCAAATATACATTCCAATAATCTTTTATTCCTTTAACCAAACACGGTAATCTTACATTCCTGCTAAGCCAACCAAACACAAAATATAATATTCCGAGTAATCCTATTCCCTGGTAATCTTATATTCTCACTGATAATCTTACATTCCGTGAACCAAACGCACCTTAATGTAAGAAAAAGCTGGGCCCACTTGAAGCTCACATATACAAAATAACAATTATAGATCCTCAAAGTATAACCTTCATATTAAATTGGCCCCTAAACTTTTAAATGTTTCAATTTCATCCCTAAACCATGACTATCATTCTATATTAGTCTTCAAACTTTTGAATATTTCAATTTTATTCCCAAAATCTATACATATACTAATCACATCTCTTGTTAATAAAAAGGTTAGACCAAGCTATATTATTATATGTCTTAAAAAAACAAATTTTAGGTTAAATTATGGTTGAAAATAATTACATATTTGGGGATAAAATTAGAATATTCAAAAGTTTGGGGACCAATTTAGAAATTGTGGAATAGTTTAGGGATGGAATTAGTGTTCAAATTTTAAGGGCTAATTTATATTGAGAGTCAGTTTGGGGATGAAATTGGAATAATCAAAAGTTTAAGGATCAATATAAAATAAAGCTTATAGCTTGGGGACATATGATGCAATTAACTATTACAAATAATCAAATAAACTTTTTCGCATTTAACGAAGTAGACACTAGATATGAATCTATGAGCAACTCCAAAAAAAAAAAAAAAAAAAAAACTCTTGAGATTTTGGTCTCTTTTTATCACACTGGTCTTTTCATTTCGAACTTACGTAATTCTTCAACAGTCCATATAACCTTTTATGCTACTATTTTACATGATATTTTGATCTATAAATCATTGCTTAAACTTTAGTAATTCAGACTGGGAAGGTTTGAGTTGAAGCAGCCTGCTGCATATCATTAGCATCACCCTCTTCGGTTTCTCCTGTAAGTTCTTCCAATGATCTTCCCTTAGATTCAGGAACCAAAAATGTGAAGAATATCCCAAGGCAGTTGATCCCTCCTAGCAGAAACAAGGAATTTCTAACCCCAATGCCGGGCGGGTAACCTGCATCAGTCTTCGATGGATCCTTGCTTTGTGCCGCGTACAAGAACCCGAGCGCGCCGACTATGGCCCCGAGTTTGCCTGAAGCGGCTGATATCCCATGGCAAGTCGACCTCATCCTTGCTGGGAAAATCTCAGCTGGCACAACAAATGTGGTGGCATTGGGTCCAAAATTTGCAAAGAAAAAGGTCAATGAATACATGATGAGGAACCCGGCATTGTTGGATAACCAGTGATCGTAAGGGATTGCAAGAGCAAACATGAACACGGTCATAAAAAAGAACCCCATCAACTGAATCGTGAACCTGCCGATATAATCGATAAACGCCACTGTAAACCAATATCCAGGGATCGTGCCGCAAAGTGCAATGATCGTTTGTGACCTGGCGACTCGATAAACCTCGTGAATTGCGTTCATGGTTTCTGCTTTTGGAAGCCAACCAATGGCACTGAAGATGTCTTTTTGGAACAGATTGTTGCTATAATAGGCAATGTCTAATAAGAACCAACACACGCTTGTTCCTAGTAAGTGTAGTCCATGGCGTCGAGCGAATTCCCTAGTAAATAGACCAAAGGAGTTCGATGAATCAGTTCCCATCTTATCTACCTTCTCTTCTTCAGCTTCAATCTCTACTTGCAGGACCTTGGACATGTCTGAAGCAGCCTGTTTCGCATTTCTTGCGACGAGGGCCGTGTACCGGGCTGTTTCGGGCATCTTCATACGCCAGTAGTATGTTAGAAGCGCAGGAACTGCTCCAAACATGAGTATGATCCGCCAAATATAGTCAGCTTCCGGTGCAGTCGAGTCTTTTCCAGCGACCGAATACGGAGGCACCTTATAAGCATGATCGAACGAAGACGACAAAATAAGTGCAAGGATCCCACCTGTCAAAATCCCAAATCCCTGCATTGCAAACACAGCAGAGATAAATGCTCCTCGAGTCTTCTTGTTTGCATATTCGGACATGATGGTGGCCGACAAGGGATAGTCGCCACCGATTCCGAAACCAAGCCAAAACCTGAAGAAACAAAGTGTTGTCATAACACCGGTCGGAGACTTCCCAAAGGAAAGACCAGAAGCAACTGAACAGATCACCATGAGCATCAGGGTGAGTCCGTAAACCTTTTTTCGACCTAATTTATCACCAAGCCAGCCAAAGAAAAGCTGACCAGCTAAAGTTCCAACAAAGGCTGTACTAGTAACGGCAGCCGCTACATTAGGAGGCAATGTTCCAGGCTTTGGGGCACCGTCAACATGGTAGTAAATACGACCAAGCAATTTAGTGATAAGAGAGATGCTAAATAAGTCATAAGCATCGGTGAAAAATCCCATTCCTGCAATTACAATTGCAGTGAAATGGTACCACTGTGTCTTTGCTACATCAAGAGCGTCGAGAACTCCAAGCTGGTTTCTAGCCATGGTTGTCTTCTACCTGAAAAAGTTGAAAAATAATCAATAGAACATAACTCCAAGCTGCTTTGAACTAAAGGAAATCAAGGAAACGAAACATGCTAAAATCAAATCCCAAATACAGAAATCAAGAACCGAACAGGAAGAGACGCAGTGTATTTTCCAACAGATTCTAATCCCAACATCTAAAATCCGTCTCTTATTCCGAGATAGCGACCTTTTGAAGACAACTAAACATAATTTTACATGCAATAATATATTGGTTGAAGATTTAGAACAATTGCCAGACCTTTTGAACACAAAGGAGAATTGCAGTTCCTCCACAAAAGGAGCAAAGAGTGCTGAGTTTGCAAGATGATTTGGTGAGTGAAGAGTGTTCAGAAGTGAGGGTATTTAAATGCATCAGAACGTCCATCACTCGGAATCTTACCAGCGGCATATTCCATTTGTTGATTTTCCTCCATTAATTTACGTTAAAAGTCAATGCCTTCACAACAATTTCCGTTGCTGATCTTTCTATGCATCAATTTAATATGTTTATTCTTACATCACACTGAAATTATCTGCCCAATACAACACGCCAGCGACCGTAAATAATGTTGCAGACAAAAGGACAGATGGATACTTTCACACTGGTTTCTGTGTTTTCTTCCAGGATTATCGATTAAACTACCGTACGTCGTTGTGCTACCGTATATTTAAGTAAGAAAGAAAGAAATAGAAGAAAATTTTGATATATATATATATATATAGGTGTGTGTGTGTGTAATTATTGACTTGACTGAGTGCAAAGACAATAGCATCAAAACAAAATACTAATTAAAATTTATGCAGAGAGAAATCCCTTTAGAAATGCAATCTTGGAAATAATTGTGTATACCAACATCATGCCGCGGCACCAACAAAGGTTGGGTACATTCCTAACAACATAATTTATATTCAAATTTTGGAGATAATACTACATTCAATGAAAGAATCATAAATCTCAAAACATAGATCATAAAATAAATATAACTTATAAAAATATAATGCCACGGTAAAACAAAAATCATTATTTTGTCCAAATTTAACTTAAAAATTTGTCTAAACACGTGTGTCCTTGTTTATGCTTTCTACTTTTTTTTTAATTTTTTTTTGTATATTTATTAAAATTTTTGAAATTGTATTCATGTTTATTTATCTAAAGTTATCATTTCATACGCATTTAGTTTAAAATTTATGTTATGTAAAGTGTCTATTTTAATGATAAACCCTAAAATTTAAAACACAACACCCTAGACCATAAATTCCTAAATCATAGATCTTAAATAAGACGTGTGATATAAAAATTTATGGTTTACACAAACTTGTCTATTTTCATCTCATGTATCGTATTTAGGGTTTAGAATTTAAATATTATAATTTAAGATTTTTAGGGTTTAAGATTTGAGATTAAAATAGGCAAGTTGTGTAATTTTGAATGTATATAGGCTTAACAATACCTAAGCCTTCGAACTATTGGGGGGAAAATCAATGTTATCCCTAAATTATTTTGCAACCAATGTAATTTTTAAAGAACTTTTGAAAAAAATTAATGTGATCCCGAACTTGTTTTGTATCGAATGTAACTTCTAAATTAAGATAAAAGTATATATTATATTTCTATAAATATATGTATAATTAATTTCAACTATAATTTAACATAAATATATATTAAATTCAAATTCTAGGTTTTACCTACCATTCTTTTCTTATACTTGAACGCAACCTCTTGGTTTCTGCTTGTTGCATGGCATCAGCCAGATTGACTTTTCTGATTATTTTTTTCTTTCAAAAACACAGAGCAGAGCTGAGTAATATAAACAAACAATAGAGGGGACGCTTTGTTTTTCTTGAAACCGTGTTCGTGTTTTTTTTATGCAATTATTAATGAAAGCCTGAATTGAATATTCAACTCTTCTTTCTTTGAACATACATATATGATCGCCTAATTTTTATAGTTGAATATAATTAACAATTAATTTGGAAAAAAATAGTAAGGCAAACAAAATACGTTAACCCTTATGATTTGATTGAAATATAAATTTATACATACAAAAGTTAATATATATATATATTTTGTGAAAAGTACTAGACGGTCTACAAATTGTGTTCTAAGTTAATTTATCCAAAATGTTACATTAATAGATGAAAGTTTAAATAATATTGAAATATCTCCTAAACCCTAAACCCTAAACCCTAAACCCTAAAACCCTAAACCCTGTGAAGTGTAAGGCACCATTGAGACGTAATACCTTCCGTTATTGGAGATTCCAATCGAAAGATCCTCCAACACTACTCACTTGAAACATAATTATAACAACAAAAAGATCGTTAACACATATAGGTCTAAAATGCTGATGTATGCACAGCATAGATCTTAAAAAATATTGCTGGGTCAACAAGAAGAGGGTTATGTTTACTGCACTTTAAATGAGAACCAACTACACAATAGAAAAACAGAAATGTAGTAACCTCTAATCCATGGGATTTTTTTGCTCCATTTTAACGAAAAAGCTTCTCGCCTCCTCATATGTAACATCACTGCTTAGAAAAAAAATGTTATTAAAAAAATTGACAGAATTAGATTGGCTTATAAAAGTAATGAGAACAATTTAAGGTATTCAAAGAATGCCGCGGAACCTGTCTTCAGCTTCTGACTTGGAGATCAAAGTGAGATCCCTAGATGCAAGAAGTTGTGGAAGACTTTCGATTCCTTTCCCCTGGCAATACTGGCGAAGCTGGCGCATTAAATCGTTGTAGGGTCCTGGCTCCTGCAATGGAAAATGTTTGTATGTAACATAGGACCAACACCCAATGTAGTGAACTGACAGCTGTTTTCTCGAATGCACCACTACCATCATCATTATATAATTAGGAAAATGTAGACAGGGAATTTTTGACAACATATACATGCATGCATGGGTGCGTAGGAAACAGAGGGAGGGAGGACATACTTGCTCAATGATGCAACCCTTACGAAGAGCAGCTATACATTCCACCACTTTGTGATAATTCTCTCCTTCATTGGAGTGTATCACTAGGGCAAGTATCTTGTCTCTCATTTCCTTAACTGCTTTCCCGACCCATTCTGGGTTATCCCTTTGGGACATCATAGCTTCAAAATCTTGAACAGGAGTTAAATCTCCAATTTTCTCCATCTTAACCGGCAGTTGATTTTCAATGGATTTGACAGCCTGACCATCAGATTCAAGGGCATTTGATCCAAATTGTTTCTCTCGATAAAATTGCCTAGATGATTTCTTCAGCTGCAAACAGAACACAGTTAATACACAAAAAACAAGCGAAAGATTAATAAATTCCATTACTTCAAAGATGTTAATGAGAATTGACCTTTGGGTTTGGCTTGAGTTCAAAGTGTCTATGCAATGCATCAAAAACAGACTTGTTTTCAGAAACAAGCTCCGGATCTGGTCCAGTGATCTTCTTTAGTGTTTCATCAAGTGGAGGTACAGCTGCATCTGGTTGCTTTGCTCTCAACTCTAGATGACGATAAAAACGCTACGCATAACAATAATGTTAGAGAAACAATGAAGGCATTTTAAATGTTACTTATTCCTGACTCCAATAATTTCAAACCCCTGCCACCTTTGGCAGGCCTGCAACCAGCTTCTATGATATCTAACCACACAATAATTCAAATGCAGCATTTGGAGTTTAATTGGGTCGGAGAAACCATGGTAACGGTGCAACCTACTAACTCTAGTAGTTCGCATATACTATCTCTTCCTCTGAACAACACAAGGGGAAGGGGTGATTTGCATTCATAAGCCAACATATAGTAATTTGCAGGCATCACAAGTAATTATTCAGTTTGTCATGTTGCAGAAACTAAAGCACAAGAATCATGATAAAAGAATCCAACAAGCATAGGATACAAAAATCAGAATCACATGCAGTGTAAACACAAAATACAAGCATATTTAAGTACCTCCAGAACAGGATTTGGAGTGAACTCAGGCAGCAATGTTTCCTCTTTGCCTGATGGAGCAAGATCAAGCATCTGCACCAATTCATCAGCTGCCTTTTGCTGCTGTTCATTGGGTTTCCATGAAGCTGGAAAACTGTTGAAAGAGGGGAACTGATATTCACGAACATCCTCGGCGAAAGGAAGAACATTGAAATAAAATGAATTAGGCTGCACAGAAAATCAGAGAGCGTCACAAGTTTCACAAGAGAGACTATAGAAAAATGAAGAGAAGAAATAAAATCCTACAATTTTATCATTTTGTGAAATGTTTGGTGTCAAGACCCCCACAACAACATTTTGCTGTCCCTGTCTCCAAACGCATCGCAAGATTGCAACTGTATTTGTTTCCTTCATTGCTCTTGCTATGGCAGAAACTGCAACAGTGGCTCTTGTGTTACCCGGTTCAGCAATAAAAAGACAGACATCTTTCATGAAGCAGTGTCTTCAGTTAATTGCCAGGCAGGACATGGATAAAAGGATGTCATAAAAGTCATTCGAAACAAATTTAATCAGAATATACATATATTTATCTCAGATAAAGCAACTTACCGTTTTATTTTTGAAGCATCAGTAAATGCCAGTAGCTTTACACCCTTTTCTGGTTTGTACTTGACAGCATCCCATTCAGCAGTTGATATAGGAACCACTTGAGGTCCATAACGGTAGCCTTTAATCCTTTGCTCTGGGGGTATAACTGTAGTACTGGATTCACCAACACTTTTATATTCATAATCAACCTTGACTTGATGTGTTGCAAACTTATCAGTCACAGGTGCTTTTTCTGAATATTTCTTCAGTGTGGGAAACTTCTCCTCTTGTGTTTTTTTATAAACCCATACCTATGTGTCATTATATATTTATATCAGAATTCTTTTTCACAAAAGCTAATGAGAACCAAACATGAAGAAAATCCTAACACTGCAGTATGGTATGTTAATTTATTGTCTCAACAACACCATTGAACCATGATGATTAATGACCCATTGAGGCATCACCCCATGCAGCCCATTAGCTGGAAGCGGGGAACCTAAACAAAGGAGGATGAAATAGCATTGCAAGTCTAAAAAAAACAGATGTTCTCACAAAGGGATGCAAATTAGGATGACAATCATCCATCTATAGCAACTTGGATCGCCAGTCGGTGTACAAGTAAATGTGCAGCATCAAGTAGAATGCTTCACATAGTGTATCCATGCAGGAACCTAAATGCAGATAATCATGGTTCTATTTCCTTAAAAAAAACACCTACTTATCTCCAAGAGAACAAGAATCTCTCGTTGTATCCATGCATATGGGCATCACATAGAGTATATGCTTGTTGCAACAAAATGTCCCAGAAGTATATGTTAAAAGCAACTATAATGTTGTTAAATAATATTTGACATCATCTATCATTAATGAACAATGTAGTCAAATACAAATATCAAATAAACTGTTAAAAATGGTATATTCTAGTGAATCCATTTATTTAGTTTTTCCTTCACTGAAAATAAAATAAATAAATAAAGTCAAAGTGGTGCCGCAGGAAGAGAAGGGGGAGGGATCAGTAAAAGAATGTAATTACTTCCAGAGTATATGTTTGACATTAATAGTCTAACCTTAATTTTCATCTGAGGACTGAGCTCAAGATGACCTCTGAAAATTGTTACAGGAGTTAATCTTCGGGTTTTAAGTGCTCCCAGTAATGAAGTTGGACTACCAACATACACATTCCGTGTACGGGTTTTCTTGGAAAATATACTCAAGAGATTATCATTCTCGTCCATTATTCTCTTATCTGCATCCTGACTTAACCTTCCCCTCACAACAATACTTTCCATTTTCATGCCTTGTGCAGTCATCTGCTCTGCAATGGTCGTGACCTGATCTTCTTTGCTTCCTTCCAAAGAGTCCTTTATAGGATGAATGGCATTAGTAATAAGGCACAGACGCTTCTTTCCTTTGAATATATCTTTATATTTCTTTATCAGCATATCCATCCCAACAACAATTGCATCAAGAACTACCAAAGTTAAGGAACCAAAAATGCAGCAATGAGCAGAAAAACGGCCTGCCTAAATAATGTTTTGCCCTAAAACAACTGTCTTACAAAACTACTTTAGCAATATATGCTAATTGTAAACTTTAAAGCATAAATGATCTACAATAATAACAACGAAATTGACTCGAGTCTCAAAGTCACAAAATAATAACAATATTAAAAATAAACACAGAATCAAAAGAAATTAATAATATTTTAAAAAAATACCCAAGTCTTGAAATTTTGACAACAACAAAATTGACTCAAGTCTCGAAGTCACAAAATAATAAAAATATTAATAATAAACACAGAATCAAAAGAAATTAATAATATTTAAAAAAATACCCAAGTCTTTAAATTTTGTTTATCAAAGAATAAATCCCTCAATGTCATATAACAACAACAATAATCATATCCAAAAATACGGCCAGAAGATTTGCATGTGCAAATATTTTCTATAAGAAAAAGAACTTCCAATGGAATGAATTTAAACACTGTACTTTTCAGATTAGACTATCTTAACAAAAAAATCCAGAAAATTAAGGGATACAATCACCATCTAAGGTCCCACGAGGCAAATTTTGTAAAGTGTCAATAAGATCACCATCAACAACTTTGATATCTTGCAACACCGTAATATTTTCATAACCACCCACTTCCGTTGTAAGGTCATTGTTAGTTTCTGTAAATTACAGTGAATACCATTAAAGTAATGCAGCACTGACATTTGATTAAAGATTCAAAAAGCTAAAAAATAATTGACATGGAGGCAACCATTAATTGGTCAAAATTAATCCTAAAAGTTGCTAGGATTCATCACAAAACAAGGAGTCACCTTCGGTTCCAAATGCCACCACTCCCACTTCATCATATTTGCTGAAAATAAGCTGTGTACACAAAAGGGAAACAGAAATCCTTTTTTCCTTAAATTTTTTGTTACCAACTTACCATATTTAATGGAATTAGAAAATATCATAATATTTTCAGAAAGACTGAGTGTCCATTAATTGAAAGCAATACCTTCTTCTCCACTAACATGGAGCAGATTTTTTCAATTTCTGGAAGAACACCGTGCATTGATGGACCGACATCAAGCAATAACACTAATTTCTCCTGTTCCAAAATAACTACCAAATCAATTACTGAAAAATGAAAACCTAAACCCTAATCAAATGACCAGAAAAAATTGGCTAAAACAAATCAATAAAATATATGAAGATCAAAACTGGGTAGCGAACGAGGAGTGAATGCAAAAAATATTAACATGCAATCCTTGAATTTCGGAGGGGAAAAAAGGGGAACACTGATAATAGTAAGGAATGTTTGAAAGAGAATCAAAGGCGTGGAATTTTACCTTGTTTCGAGCCATTGAAATGCGAGTGATCTAGCCAGGCTGACCAGGAAGATATAGAGAGCAAGAAGCTTGTGGCGGAAGCTTGGAATTTGAAAGAAGCGACTGCGAGGAGGCGGGTTTATATACAGCGTGAAAAATGTTGACCATTTCTAGTTTTTTCTTTATTCTTCCCACCTAGATCAGCAAGTTTCGCTAAATTACAAAATGGTCCTTTACAAATTCTAATTTATGCAAGGACAGAAAACGTTGTACTTGTCGAGGTTTATGCCATTCTGGCGTTATATATCTCCATAAAACAGCTAAACATGCATCAAGTGGCCAAAACAGATACACTAAGGAATAGAGGATTACTGTCAAACAATCTCTTTTAATTTTCTAATAATATGTGTCGCAACCGTCTTTCGGTTGGGGTCCGGAATTGGACTTCGACTTGGATTAAACGAATTGGAGTCGCCACCGACCACTTTAAAACGAATTTAGGTGGGTCGGACACCATCTTACCTGATCTGCGTTGTACCAGAAACGTGTCGGGTTCGGGAGTCGTTTACAGTCAAGGAAGGGTTAGCACCCTTGAACTGCCCTTTCGGTACCAATTAATTTGTCGATTGTCTTAATTGCGAAAATTAAAAAGTTTAAATTTAAATTTAAAAACCCGATTCAAATTACTTACCTTTGATCGATTGAGATTATTACTGAAAATGGGTCAAAAACGTTAGATAAAAAATAAATAAATAAGTCTACAGAGTAAAAATTAAAAATAAAAATGAATCAAAGGAGAATAAATTTTTTTAATAAATTAAGAATAAAAAATAAAATAAAGGAAAAGGCCCAAAATAAAATAAATGTAACCTGCAAGGTAAAAAAATAAGTTTAGAATTATAATAAATGGATAAAATAAATTAAATAAAAAATAAAAAATTTAAAATAAACGAAATAAAAGGAAGGAAACCAAAATAATTGAGGGACTAAAGGGAGGGTTTGGACAAAGTTCTAAACCATGTAGGGTTTTGCTTAATTTCATGTGTACAGGAGTTTTTTCATGCATTTGCAATTCAATTTAAAAACCAACTTCTCCTGTCAGTGCTCTTTTCCTGTTCAGTAACATGGTTGGCAACTGCTCCACAGATCTCATCACCATACTCAAAGTAACGTGTACAACCAAGATGTATCTAATTTCCCCTTCTGGAAAGTCCCGGTCCATCTGCCTCCATTAGCACAGACAAAGTCTTCCCACTTAGGCTCGATCTTATGTTTGAAACAATGAAAGTCTGCTCCCACAGCCAACTTCCTCGGATGATGCATGTTATTGTAAAGGCTCCAGAGTTGTTCGATGGTTGGGAAAGTGTAATTTGGCTTGTGGGTTATCGAACCAGAAGGTCCATGAATGCTCAAGCGGGTGAGGTTGTTCGATGACATCTTCCTTCAACGACGTCGTATCATCTTATTCTCCGGTGATCTCTTGCTCATCGGGAGGAATTGAAGTGAGGGAGAAGAGCTGGAACTGAAACACTTCAAAACCGTCGTCAGTGTCATAATCGACGCTAAATGTTGAGTCGTCGTGGCGAACCAGGAACTTGCGAGCCACCATTTTTTCTGGTTTTCTAATCATTTGTTCTTCCCTCGTTTTCCTTTTTGTCTGTGCCTCCTCCTGATTTTCATTTCACGTTTTTCTCCCCAAAATCCTCCTCCCCCCTCCAATCGTAGGATTTACAAGCTTTATTTATAGCAAAAATAAAAGCCTATTTCGTGTGGTTTTAGAGTTCTATTGAGATTAAAACTCTTTGTTTTGTCTTCAGTCTTCACATGATCCTCAAACGCCGGGAAGATCGGAGGACGTTGCCACCAGAATTGGGGCTCTCCAAGAGTCGTGCGGGTTGAATCTGTCAAAGGCTTGCTCTGCTAGGCCCTATTATTTGGGTGAACTAAAAAGTGGGTCTACAGCTGCCCCTCTTTGCCCATAGTCGTGCAACGGGGATAGGGCAAAGATTTAAAGACACACTTTCCATCTATATCGGATGTCCTCTGTCATAGAGTTGAAATCCAATGCTAAAACTGGTTTGTCAATTGGAACTGAAATATGAAATGACTCCCTCATCGTGAGGTCGAGTTGAACTGGAAACTTCCGAGCACAATATCCTTCGTCGTGAAGTTGAAATCGAACTCAAAATATTAGAAAGTAACTCCTGGATCATCTTCTAGCCCAAGATACTTCGTCGTGAATGTGGAACTTGTCCTGAAGACTTCGGTGTTGCAGATGACTTCTTCGTCGTGAAGTTGGGTCCATCTTGAAATGGAATTGAAGCCGCAGTTCAGAATCTGAATCAGAATGTGACTTCTTATTGCCAAACTGTAGTCCACTTCGGTCTTCTTCTTGATTTAAAGACCTTGGTTTAAGAATTTGACTGGAAAGTAGTTCTTTGACTCCAACATGTGATTGACAGACCCTCGATCTGAATGACACGGTTCAGATGATGCTTTAAGAGAAATTGTCTCGAAAGAGACAGAATTCGTTTCAAGGGAAACGATCTCAAAGATATTTGTTGTTTCATGAGAAACGGTCTCAAGGGAGACAAGATTTTGTTTCAAGAGAAACTGTCTCAAGGGAGACGAAATTAGTTTCAAAGAAACAGATTCAAAGATTTTGTTTCAAGGGAAACTGTCTCAAGAGAGACTAAATTTGTTTCAAGAGAAACTGCTTCAAACATCTTGTGTTTCAAGGGAAACGTTTTCAAAGTTTTATGTTTCAAGAGAAATCGTCTCAAGGGAGACAAAATTTATTCCAAGGGAAACTATCTCAAGAGAGACAAAATTCATTTCAAGGGAAATGTTTTCAATGCTTATGTTTCAAGAAAAACTGTCTCAAGGGAGACAAAATTTATTTCAAGGGAAACTGTCTCAAGAGAAACAATGGTGAGCACGATTCCCTTCGCCGTGAAGTTGAAACCGTAGATGGCCCCTTCGTTGTGAAGTTGAGCCTTGGAATTGGATATCCTTCGTCATGAAGTTGAAATCCAAGTAAGTTGTATTGCTCCGAGTCCAATATCCTTCGCCGTGAAGTTGAAATCGGTTCTAGAACTGGGAAATTGTTTATTGACAACCAGTGGTCCCTTCGTCGTGAAGTTGAACTTGTGTTGTCTGGAGTCCAATATCCTTCGTTGTGAAGTTGAAATTGACTCTGAAATTGAGAAGTTGTTTGTTGACAACCAGCGGTCCCTTCGTCGTGAAGTTGAACTTGCGTTGTCTGGAGTCCAATATCCTTCGTTGTGAAGTTGAATTTGGCTCTGAAATTGAGAAGTTGTTTGTTGACAACCAGCGGTCCCTTCGTCGTGAAGTTGAACATGCGTTGTCTGGAGTCCAATATCATTCGCTGTGAAGTTGAAATTGGCTCTGATATTGAGAAGTTATTTGTTGACAACCAGCGGTCCCTTCGTCGTGAAGTTGAACTTGCGTTGTCTGGAGTCCAATATCCTTCGTTGTGAAGTTGAAATTGGCTCTGAAATTGAGAAGTTGTTTGTTGACAACCAGCGGTCCCTTCGTCGTGAAGTTGAACTTGTGTTGTCTGGAGTCCACTATCCTTCGCTGTGAAGTTGAAATTGGCTCTAGAAGTGGAAAATTGTTTGCTGACAGACAACTTTTCTTGACTTAAGTTGTGCAGTAAATTTCCTTTAAATGAATGATGGCCCCTTTCGCCAAATTTTGTAAGCCGGATATCTTTCGTCATGGAATTGAAATCTGTCTTGAAAGTGTTAACTGGAAACATACTGCTCATGGTTGAGTTTGTGTCGAACTGGATTTGTTTTGATCTGGTTCTGATATCTGTAAATATGTCAAGTTAGTTGAGGTGTAGCTAAGCAACCACCATCGATCTTTAAAGGCGCATACAAATCGAGTATCCTTCAACCTGAAGTCGAAACTTGACTCTAAAAGCTGCAAAAAATCATATATGCTAAAATGATGAATGTGATGCACCTAAGTATGTCTAAGATGCATGTAACATGAATGAATTATGTGTTATTTCTTGGATGGAGTCTCGTGCTTTATCTGCTAATCTGGTCCCTGGAATCGATCGTGCCCCCATTCTCTTTTCGAGCTTTGGCTTTACAGACCTTTCAAATCTGAGACTGTTCTGTTTGGAAATGTTTTTCTCATTTTTCTTGTTTTAGGAGGGAAAAAGATGAAAATTCTGTAAAATATTGTTCGCAATTGAATCAAATTATAAACATGAGTTTAAAGATTATCAAAGGAATCAATAGCTCTTTTAATGCTTTCAGAGTTACAGCTCTTTGACAAACGTTCAAAGGGATGAGTTGGCTTTAGGTTGACCTAAGGTTTCGGCCATAAAAAAATGTCATTTTTGTGTTATTGCAACATGCTTTGGTATTTCAATTGGGTGCGGACAAAATGACGCAACTAGCATGATCAATTACTAGACCTTTTATTTCGGTCCTCTGAAATCTTCCATTTGTTCAAGCTTTGTAGGCTCCTCTAACGAAGGTAGTGCAAAAATATCGGTCTAAAATGAAATTCTTGAGTGCTCATATGAAATTGACTATAACAGGTGTTCCTTAATTCCCTTAGTCCATTTTACCGAAACTTTACGCTTAGATAAATTCGATTTAATTTACCATTATCTGGCTAGCTGAATCCATAAAGTCGGGGTGTTTAACCAATTGCTTTAGAGGGACAACTTATCATTATAATAATTTTTATCAAGTTAACTGAAGGGTTCATCTCATCACAAAGTCTTCGGCCTGACAAAAGCAGTGGAGCAAACACCGAATTGCCAAGTGTCCGAGCAATGTCATGGTTTGAATACAATCTATTCATAAAGCCAGGGCTTTCGAGTTTCCTCTGTAACCAATTGCCTTAGTGAAATAGCTCAGTTTTATGGATTTAATTTCTTAAGATTGTCAAGAAGAACCTGTTATAGTCTAGGTGTTTGTTGAAAGTAAAAAATTTCATCTTTAGAGTTCAATTTTCAAGCAACTGACCTAAACTAGATTCACTTACTCGACTATTCCATCTGTGAAGATCATTATCATCACTGAACGTCTTAAATAAAAAGTATAATAATGTCATATGCAAAAGGATGCCCCATGTTGTCCACACCTTATGAAAGGAAAATGTTATATTGGTTAATTACAAGAGCAGGGTACGGTGTTT